AGTTTCCCTAAGTAGAATCTCAGAAAGATTTAAAAGTGAAAATTTCCCTTGATAAATACTTGTCTGGTGAAACTGACAAGGATTATTCTGTTGTCCTCTGTGTTGCTAGTTTTACTAAAGACAAACAGTGAAGGAAATGACTATGTGCCACACCTCAGCATTAGATAAAGACACCAAGTGAGATGTCAGGCTACATTGACACTGCTTTGTCCAAAGATAATACTCATTCTGGGGGAGGCAATAGGCTGCATGGTGAGCTGAGTTACCTTTGACCTTAAGAACAGAAGCTCCTGATACCTGCCAACTTGAAATTTCAATGTCTTCAGGCCCCAGCATGCAATACAGCCAGCCAGTTCTCACCTTTAACACAGTGGTGGGCTTGGCTAGGATATCTTTTAAATCATATGTAATTCTTATTACAGGGCAGCATATCTAAATGCACAGCATTCAGGTAGTTAAGCATAGATCAGTGTGATATCATTTAAAGTGGGGAAAGTGTTTGTATATTGTTAATAGCTGGGTTAGTTGTGGGGCCACCTATCTCCCATTAGTTCTGCTTGTCCCATCAGATCAGACAGAATTGGCAGGTCCCCTCTATCAAGCGTTGCTATGTGATGGGACCCAGGGAATGTGCCTTCTCTGTTGTATCACCTACCCTGAATAGGCCTGACTATATTGGCCTTTTGTAAGGCACTAAGACCTGGCTGTTTCTACAGGTACTGGGCCAGAGCACCATCTCTAAGGGGTGGTGTAGTATATTAATAGATATCCTTAGTTGCTAATCAGTTCTGTTTGGTTTGGGTAAGTATTGTTTTTATAATCATTTTAAAATTTGTTTGTGAGCTACTTAGAGTTGTTTTGTGAGTTGGGTAGCCATACAAGTCAAATGAATGAATAAACAGAATTATCTGAAGTTAGAATAGATTCCTGATTTATAATTAAAACATTTCAAGTATGTTTTTAAATTTCATGGATTTTTTTTTGCTTCAGATTATGTGAAACAACTTATATACAGTTTGGGTGATGATATCAATCTTCTGAATTTCTATTTGATCATTAAAAAAAACTGTGTGATGAGTAAGCAAGGGATTTCCAAGCTCTAAGAAAATGAGTCATAGAAAACTGGATATTTCTACTAACACCAAATAGGAAAAAAGTTAACAGTTTCCTCCATCTAGCAGAAAGGGATTTCAGTGATGTAGAATTACCTGTCTTCATTCCCAGTATCCACCCCTTGCCCTTTGCTTTCTTTTCTATTACCTCCTTGTTTATCATCCTGATGATCTTTCTTTGCCTGTTACTCCTCCTCTCTTGTTCCTGTTCAAATGTCCTAAGGCATTATAATATTTATTTATTTATTTTTTCAAATTTGTATGCCGCCCATCTCCCCCAATGGAAGACTCTGGGCAGCTCCCAATAATAATAA